GTTGCCATCTTCGACACTTTCTTCTGGCATTCTTTTAGAGTTTCCACGAGATGATCAAACTTTTGCAAATTTCCTGAACTGAACTTCATTGAGAAAACCTGTAGGAAGCCAACATTCACAACATCAAGTTATCCTCATAGCAGTTAATGTCTCTCTCCACTTTTCTTAAAGCACCATATGGCAATAAAATAAAATGCAGAGGGAAGACAATGGAAGGGGTACTGATCTTTACTTTGTGGACACAACCTAGTAATGAGGAGGAAATGACCACGTCTGTTTATTCAGCAGCTGCCACAAGAGCGATTAAAATGAGCACTGCCGAAGCACAAACTATTTCTACAGGACTTACTCTAACATGGTTCATCTGCTGCTCCAGTTTCTGTATTTCTGCCGCAATTCTTTCTGCCGCTTTCTGTTTTTCTTCCAAGGTTTCCTTGATTGACTCCTGTCAAAGGAGACTAGAAGTTCAAATGGGCAATTGTTTCATACTTTCCTTGATCCTTCCAGCCCTATAGAGAATACTTCACTTGGCATATTCACGTCGGTCTATTCACATTGGAAGAAATATCTAAGGAAATACACCAAAGTATTGCCCACGTAATCTTTTGCAGAGGTCCCACAGCTCTACGGTAGTAATATCATCTTGCTGCCATTGTGCTATATTGAAAAAAAGATGACCAAGGTCCTGGAAATGCTTATCCACTTGGGAAAGAGCAATGGGCTCAAGAAAAATGTGATGGTATATGGGCCAACTGGGTTCTCTCTCATTCATATTGAACCATGGTAATAGTTTGGATTTAGCAAGACCTCTTGTGAGATAGCATCAAAGCATAAACATTACCCATTTCAAACTGTACATGATTTGTGGGCCAGACGACAGACCTTCTCTGTGGTTACACCTGCAATGTAGAATCCTCTTCCCCAGAGGCCCAAGAGCCCTGTTATTCAATCTCGGAAAACAATTACTGTAAAGCAGTACATATTATTCCAACGTGCCTTTGGGCTGAGTTGATTGTGGACAGTGATCACAGATTTGGCTGTTGTATTATTTATTCTTATTCCTTATATTTTGATTTTTAACCCTGTTTTGTTGTTAGCTCGCAGCGTGTTTTGGGGCCAGAGTAGATTATCAATACTTTGAAGTAAATAAATAAATATAGGAAATATAATTTCATGAGATGTTGGACTTGTACCTTAAGGCACATCAGAAACTATTAACTGTTAAGCTTATTAGTTCTGTTACATTAGAATATAATTGCCTGGTTGCATTTGAGGCAAATGTGGCATTTAGCAGGGACATTGTTCTCTTTACTATAACATCAATATGGAACCTCAGTGTTACTGGGCAAAAAAGAAGGGAAACCTATACCTAAGAAGACCAACAGGCTTTCTTACCATAGCGCAGTGGTTCTCAACCTGTGGGTCGGGACCCCATTTGGGGTCGAACGACCATTTCACGGGGGTCGCCAAATAACACAGTCCGCCATTTTTTCCCCCTTTTCCTTAGCTGTGCTACTCCCTTTTATTCTATTGGCTTTTGAAAGCCAATAGAATAGACTCTCTTGAATAGAGTCTAATTCTATTGGCTTTCAAAAGCCAATAGGAATTGTCCAGGCTGTCTCTGCCCTGCTGAGCCCGCCAAAAGTCCCATTCTGCAAACGGTGCTGCATCAGCTGAGTAGTCCTCGACTTACGACCAGTTTAGTCCTCAACTTACGACTGGTCGGGGGTCACGGCATTAAAAAGGTTGAGAACCACTGCCATAGCGGGATCTATGGACATATCCCAGTTTAGAAGTCTTAATTGGAGGTGCAATGGGTGACTATAGTATTTGAAAATGAGAGCATGCCAACATGCTCTGGTTCATACAAGTATATGCATATATACGTGTAGTCCTTGATTTATATCATGTGACTATGTTGCTTAGCAACAGGAGTCCTGACACTATTGTCATCATCAACTAAATTCCACTGGTTGTTAACCAAGAACCTACCCCAGTCCGAGCCATTTAGGATTTGGTCTCTCCCAGCTCTGATCTATGTTCTTTCAAGATAAGGGACTACCTCCCCTTCAACTACCCCCATCTACCTATCCCCCCACATCTCTGCCCTTGTGGTTGCCCTGGCCCTATCTTGTAAGGCAGCAAACAACTCTAGAACCATATGTGCTGCAGCTTCCTGCAGCTCCTGAGCCACAGTGCAGTGGGAACCTCAGCCCTAGCCCTGCCCAGCTCCTGAGCCACAGTGCTGCATAAATCCTTTTGCAGCATGAAGCCCAGACCAAGTTGAGCCACAGTTCCTATGCCACAGTGCACTCTGCTGTCCCATGGACCTTCGCCATCATCTTGCTCCTGATGCTGACAAGGCATGCTCATGCTGGCCGTTCGCTATTGCCATGTGAGGTCATCTTCCCCAATTCTTGAGAGGAAATCACTAGGTACAACCTGGGGAAGAAAGTCTTGTGTGGCCAGCACCTGAATTGCAAAAGAGACAGGATGTGCACACTTGCTTAACAGCACAACCAAGAAGATGTGAAGGTCAGCTAAGGCAACAGGGGCCATAGAGCAGAGTTTCCCAACCTTTCCAGGTTGGCAGCCTGGAGCAGGGTGGGAAGAGGGGGTGATTTTGTGGGAAGGGAAGACTCATGTGCGCATGCCTGTGCTGCTTGAGCACCTGCAATGTTCATGGTAATGCTCGCGTGAGTGGGACCTTGAACACATGCAACAACACTTGTGCAAGTGAGGCTGAAAGCATCCGCAATGAGGCTTGTGCGAGTCAGGTCGAGACTGCCTATAACGACGCTCACGTGAGTGGGACCTTGAATGCCTGAAATGACACTTGTGCAACTGCAAATGCCCACAACAAGGCTCGTGCGAGTGAGACTGTGAGTGCTCACAATGTTCACGCAAGTGGGGCTGCAACTGCCCACAACTCTTGTGTGAGTGGGGCTGTAATCGCCTGCAACGCTTGCGGTGACCCTCACGTGAGGGGGCAGTGTGTGCACAAACATGCGCACTGACCAGTTACTCACGCGGCCTGGTGGTGATTAGGCCACGGCCCAGTAGTGGGCTGCAGCTTACAGGTTGGGGACCCCTGCCACAAAGTACAGGGAGCCAAAAAAGCATGGGGGAGGGGAGATAGACGGGGAAGTTGAAGTGCCCTTATGGTTGTAAATGTGGGCACTCTGCCATGCACCCAATTTTGATCACATGACCTTGGGGGCACTGCATTGTAACTTTAGTCACCAGTCCCAAGTCCCTTTGTTCCACACCACCGTAACTTGTACGTTTGCTGAACAAATGGTCATAAGTTGAGGACTATCTGTTCAGAGAAAACCACGCCTAGTTCCATTTAGCATTAGACACGCCTTAGCCTCTGTAAATTTGGGCTGTATAAGCTATAGGATGAATTCTATTAGCCCACCAGCCACTAGTCTTGACTCTGCTACCCTGCTTACTTCTTGAGCTTTCCGTTCCTCTTCGAAGAGAGCCCTCTTGTGCTTTTGGCAGCTTCTCACAGTGCACACACAGCAGATGCAGCGTTTCTCAGTTACACAGTAAAGTTCCAAGGGCCGGCCATGATGGGGGCATTTCCTTGCCTGAGAATCAACTGCCTTCCTCATCTCCACTTCTGGGACCCCTGGGGCCACTTCTTCCAGTTTCAGCAGCTCTACCAGGTTTTCAAGCTGGACGGTTTTGCTAAGTTTGGGTCTCTCTGGAAAGCATGTTCTGCATTCAGGGCAAGTGCAGGTCTTCTGACAATTTAGTCCTTCTTCTTCTTTGTCCCAGTGGCTGCTGATGCACTTCTCACAAAAACTGTGTCCACAAGGCACAGTCACAGGGGTAGTAAACATCTCCAGACAAATGCAACATACTAACTTTTCTTCCAGCTTCTGAGAGGCAAAGGAAGCCATTTCCCCCCAGGAAGCACATAAAGAGAAAGAGAAAATAACACACTCAAAACCCATGATGCTCTCTAAGGGGAGGTCCTGAATGTAGGAAGAGTGAGCTTTAAAGGGACAGAAGATATTTGTAGTTTAGACAGTACAGTACAGCATTTAAGGCAGTGTTTCTCAACCTTGACAATTTTAAGGCATGTGGACTTCAACTCCCAGAATTCCACAGCCAGCATTGCTGGCTGTGGAATTCTGGGAGTTGAAGTCCACATGCCTTAAAATTGTCAAGGTTGAGAAACACTGATTTAAGGTCATCTCAGATGCCCTAATATTAAATGCATTAGCCTTTTTCTAAGTGAAAAAACTCCAAGCTTTGGGTTTGAATTTTCTCCTTATTTCAAACAATCTTTAGGCCAGTGCTATCAATTTTGATGTTTAATTAGTTAACTTGAGCTTTAGTATTTACTCTGAAGGTGCACCATCTGAGCTCACCTACGGCTTCTAAAGGCTTGGCTGAGCTCATGAGGCTTCTAAATGTTTTTTTTTTAATAATTTTTTATTTTTCCAAACTCTTCCCCATACATTTACTGTGATATTTATCAGATGTTAATATACATTCTTTTTTACATTCATATATGATACTTTTAATAAAATGAAATAAATACATACACATGACTTTTGGTGTTGCTCGCCCATTTCCTCTTTCACTGTATCCACACTCCTTCTTCTCTACCTTCTTTCTCCCTTTCTTCTCTTCCCTACTTTCCTCTTCTTCCTCTCGTCTTCTCTTTCCTTCAGCTTTCGTATTTACTCTGAAGGTGCACCATCTGAACTCACCTATGGCTTCTAAAGGCTTGGCTGAGCTCATGAGGCTTCTAAATGTTGATAACAAATTGTAATCTTTAATGGTCATAAGAGGAAATACATGATTGGAGCATAATGTTAACTATATTTTAACTAAATGAAACACCACTCTAGTTATCACCCAGGACTTTTGATTGCTTTTTATAGTACAAATAGCCCTTGATCTGGAAAAAAAACCCCTGCATGCTTCCAAGTTAGAACCAGAGATGGCTCAGGATCAGCATGTTTCAAGATCTTTTCAAAATCAAATGAGCTCAAAAAGCATACTGGGGAGGGAGGGGGAGGGGGGAGGAAGGGGGGGGGCTCCAGCCTCGTGATTAAACCTCCTAATCTCAGAATGGAAAATTTTGGCAGACTCAGTGCCTGCTGAGCATAAAGGCCACTCTGATGAAGCAGAAGATGTAGAGGAGATGGGAAAAGGTGGATGTTTTTGTTTTGCAGGCATCTGTAAATGAATTTCAGGTCGGCACACAAAACCTTTTTACATTGCTTGCCTTTGGCAAAAGTCACTGCCTTCCCAGAGAAGAGAGCTGGTGCTTCAAGCTGCAGTCAAGAGGGGTAAAAGGGAACCAGAGCTTAGCCAAGGAAGGTGCTGCTAGAAAGAAAACAGAGAAAGCTCTGGAGTTCGGCATTACATTTTGAATGTTTTTCTGAGTTCTTAGTCTGCTTGGCTATATTTCCGAAGAGTCAGATTTTGTTTGCCTACCCTGTTCCAGAATGCTGAATAAACTTTAAAAGCATTTCTACATTTCTGGAGTCCAACATTTGCTTTCAGCTACACGCTAGTCAATTCCTCACGGCTCTGACCACAAGTCACTCTTTGATTCTTGTCCCACAGAGGCTAAGTCATGATTTCTAACTATGGTTTGTTGAATCATCCATAACTGGCTGGGATCACACATTGTGCTAAAGCATAATCCCAGGCACATAAGCCAGAATGGCTGGCCTCATAATACCTTAAACCAAAATTAAAAAGCTACATTATACTCATTATTCAGGGTTTGATCCCAGTAAGTGTTCAGTTGTGATGATTGGACTATGGGACAATTTTCCTAAAGACGTTTTCCTGGTCCAAGTCCTGCCCAATCTTAAACATCTGAATCCAATGGAATTTTTTAGCTAGAACCTTTGTTTTGTTGACTAGTATGTAAAGGCTTGTTTGTTTCTGTAGCAGTTATCTGTATACGTTTCCAAAGGTCAACACATGACCCATAGTGATCATTTGGACTAGTCTCTGTGAGGTAAAACTTTGCTGAAGACTTCTGGTTTAAGTCTTTCCTAGAACTGAGCTGACTTCAATGCAGTGCTGGCAATAGCATCTGAATCACTGAGTTCAGACAAGAATGGCCAGATCAGAAACTAACTCTTCCCCAATTTTACAATTCTGGGATACTTAAGGGGACACAAACACAAATCAAAAACAATGGCAATTCATGATATTTACCTGGTTGCTGTTTTATCCTTTAGTGTGTGTCAAACACAGACTGGCTACAAAAATAGGTATTTTTCATTTTTCTCATAATTAAACCACAGATCTATCCATACCCCATTAAATAAAAAGTTCAAGATACCATAATTCTAATCCCTTCTAGAAGCAGAAAAAAATGGCAATGCTTACTAGAACAGTACTTAAGAGGCAGTAACTTTTGCAAGTATCAAAAGATAATTTTAAAAAAATGACCAAACTCTTACAAAGGATCCTCAGTATTCTTCCCTCAAAGACCTTGGCTAACTTTTTGAAAATTATTTAAACTTTGGGCTTCATAGTTCATCAGTCTTAAGTTAGAAAAGGTCACTAAAACTTATACAAATGAGAAAAGAGTAACACAATACATCATATTTATTTAACTGCTAGGAGAGTAACAAAATCATTAAGGACTTTTTAAAAAGTATAAATATGTTAAGTGTAACATTTTACAAATTTAACTTAAATGTAAATAATGGAATACATCTTCCTCCAAATATTGCCATATATTTTCTTAAAATTGCTGTATAAAGCTGCTCCTGTGATATGTCCCATCCTTAATTAAATTCTAAGGGTATGATCTAAAGTAAGGTTCCAATAGCATTCATTCAGAAACACGTTGGTAGTTATTTGCAATGGCTCTATATGGCTGCCCAATTCACTCTCAGTGACTCCAGGTGGTTACAAAGAATAAAAACCCAATATAAAAACAATAAAAAAACGTAACTCGCCACCCCTGAAGAGTGCCCGAAGAATTATCAATTGTAATCATAGTTGGGCCCTGAGGGACAGTCTGGTATGGTGGTTAAGGTATTTGGCTAGAAACCCGAAGACTGTGAGTTTTAGTCCTGCCTTAGGCCCAAAGTCAGTTAGGTCACGCTTAATATTGGGAAAAAGGCAGTGATAAACCAATTCTGAAAATCTTGCCAAGAAAACTGCAGGGACTTGTTTAATCATCAGCAGTCAAGGCTGGCTCAGAGGAAAACACTCTTAGTTGGAGGCTTTAATGCAGGTACACTGGAAACAGAGGGAATGTGCTGCCCACACTTATGCAAGACAATCCCAGCAACCTTAATCTGCAAGTGAATTCCATGGGCTTCTTCCCATGAAAGTGGTTTCAAATATTTTGAAATCATGCTTTTCTTTTTTAATATAAAAGATAATGCATAGTCCAGGTTCTGTGGCGATTGAACACTTTGCAACATGTAATGTATTGTCTAATTTTATTCAAATAAAAATATTTTATTCTTCAAGTTTTCTTGATTAAATTCTGGAAAAAAAAATAACAAAGTCTGTGACACATATATACCAGAGAGATGGAAACTGGATTTTCTTCCAAGTAGGTGATAAGAATAAGATAAGCTGGGTGACTTTCAATTATATTTTATGGACTTCTGTTTTTTTGGACCAGACCCACAAAGTATTCTGTTCGGGTCTCCTATGGAAAGAAGCATGTTTCTTCTGTTCAGTAAATGCCATAGGTGGGTTCATCACTGTCCCTGTACCTGTCCAGGTACCTCAGAGGTTGACGGTGTGGATATTTCTTCTGAGGGGGATGATATTTGGGTGGCAGAACAAAGTCAAACACTGGTTCCTTCATGTCTATAAAAGGAAAAGAGAATGTTAGCACTTTTCAAAAATTATAAACAAAACAAGCTCTTATTTTAAGATTCTTATATCAAGGTTGACCAATTAATGGTTCATCATTTTTCTATCTGTCATGATTTGCAGTATTTTCACTGTGTCCCGAAAAAGCATATGCTTCCTTTCCTTCCTAGTAAAGTGAAAAGAAGTGAATTCAGTAACTATAAATCTATGTCCAGATTGTGGTTGATCCAGTCACATTCTGCTGATTATTATCTGTTCTGTTTGTTTCTTGCTCACGTAACTTTCTGATATGTTCAGAAATTTCTGGACTAAATAATTCTGAAATTTCTACAGTCAGTTATTCTCTAGGTAAAACCACTGAGGCCTGGAAGCTGCACCAACTAACAGTATATGGCTTAAAATATAACCCAGTAGTACAACACTCAATAGTCTTAGCATTAGTATTTCAAAAAGCAAAATAGTTTCAAGCTAGTTACTGCTTGAACTTTGAAGAAACAGAATAGGAAGAGTATTAAACTTTTCAACTTTGGTGTTGGAGAAGACTCCTAAGTACACTGTGGACAGACAAGAAAGCAAACAAATGGATTATCAAATAAATTAATATAGGGTTTCCACTTGAGGTACGAATGACCAGGTTCAAATTATCCTACTTCACATACGTTATGTGAAGACCTAACTCTCTGGAGAAGGAGTTAATGCTGGGAAAGGAGGAAGGAAAAAAAAGAGGAAGAAACCAGCAATAAAATAGATGGGCTCAGTTACAGTTGTGATGTTCACATTATTGGAGGACCTAAAGATCAGGTTAAACTAAGAAAGATCATCAGGGAGAATATTGATATATGTGCTTGCTAAAAGTTGATGCCAACCTGATGGCACATAATAAATCAATCATTACTGGCTTCCAGTTTTGCACAGCAGCCGAGGGATCACTCTGCACCCTACAGCCGATTTCTGCCTGTTAGGGGACTCTAAATGGGCCTAAAGTCGCCCCGGAGAGGTGACAAAGGAGAGAAGCCTCACCGACTGTAGAGAGATAGCGGTCGATCTGGTCATTCAGGGAAAGGCCTCCAGAAACCAGCAGCAGAAAGTCTAGCTTAATTCCAGAGTCTAGCCC